AAACTGCTGGTGTTTCTTCTCTGTCTACCGCTGCTGCAGTCAAGGACCACGTAACGGGCCTAACAAAAGAGCTTTCTATAATTTGAATGTAAACACCAAGCTAATGTTCCACCGAATCGAAAGCCTTCTTAAAATCGACGGATAGCACAGGTAAGAAAATTCTGTATCCTCTGCACTTTCCATCGACTGTATTATTATAAAAATTTGGCCGATAGAGTAAAACCACTTCCTATCCGTTCCTAGCGTAACCTTCGTGGCACCTTTTTGCCTGCAGGTTAAACCTTCCATTGGTCATTTTCCCCTCACAGATGGCTGAAATGTCGAAGCAAATATTTTGGAGTTCCTATGGCAAAAAACCGTACTGACGGGTTATTGATGCCGAATCGCGCTTATAGATACACAAGGCATACAATTCGTGTTGCTCTGATCACTGCTGCATCATCCGATGACCCGTCTGCAGAAACCACAGGCACCCTCGATTTCATTCGTTTCCTCTTTCGCTTCCCCAGTAATAAACAGAGTGTGCAATTCTCGACGAATGTAAATCAAGGAACAAAAATTGTCTTTTTATTCTGGTTAGTTGTTGAATAACAGCTGTTGTTGGCAACTTCTTCAGTTTTCCCTTTCCTGGCTATTCGCATTCAAATAATTCCAGATCGATATTTAAGAGGAATATACATGACCCCTGATACTTATGGCGCTTGCACAAAATGTTGCACCGATTTATTGACAAAAAAAAAGCATTTGCAAAAAAAGTCAAAATTTACCTCTTCGCTGAGTAGCTGGACAATTTGGGCTTCACGAAGAGCAAGCTGAGTGTCTATTGCAGCTTCACGAGTTGTGCAACTTTTCCATTCCAAAATTAGTTCCACCTTAATTTGTAACAAATTCTGCTTTCTGTATCGACTTGAAGTAAAACTATATTTTACCACTCACTAAAAAGATATTAACTTTCAAAAAGTTAAAAATCAGCGTAGTGTTCCTATGCCAGTTTAGTGACTTTCCTATTTATTAAACTTTCCTTTGGACAATCGCTCAATGCCATTCATATATGTGCTCTGTTTGATGAGCAAAGATTACTCATTTACAATTTTAGTTAAAAAAAAACTCTACCGCTTGATCCATATCACGATGTGCAATGCAGTCGTCCAATTCGGCTGGCAATTCACTGAGCCAGGCGCTTTCATCCGGTGATTTTGAGGACTCAGAGATGGAAGTCAACTGATTCGCCGGCTCGGTCTTGGCTGAGAGATCCTGGCGTCGCTTCCCTCGAATGGTTGCTTGTCGTACCAATGATCCCTCACGAAGAAGTTCTCTTTTAGCGGTTTCTATGCAGTCAAGCCATTCTTTTTTCTTGCGTGCGCTTTCAGCAACAAAAATCCTATAAATCAAAAAATTTCGAATTGCACAGTTCTATAACAGCTGCTTGCCACTAAATAACGATTCCGTCACATGCTGAGGCTCAGTGGAACTGCCAGTAATTTCTACGAATAAATGTTTTTGATTAAATTCAGTTCAGCATGTTCTGCATGATACAGTACCTCTGTCCAGGGAAGATCAAGAGCTTGAACATGCTGCTCGCAGTTTCACCGCCTTCTCGGTCTTTGATATTGACTGCTGCTAAATTATTCAACGAATGTGTTGAGTCCAACTGGAAACGGTACTTTCCTGGAAACAAAGTTGTGATGGTAACGTTTTCAGAACATTAAACAAGCTCTGGCCAAAAAAAAACTTAAAATTTTGAAAAATTCTTTTTTTAAAGCCTGATTTGAATACATAGGAGTATATGGAAAGAAAAAATTGAATTATAACCGGACGATGGATGGCCGATTAGAAGACGATCTGACAATAAAATAAGCATGACTGTGTGCTGCGGTCGCATGCTGTCGTTATCTAGCTGAATCACTTCGCCATGCATGATCACCCGATCCGAATTCGGTAAATTGTTCAGTACTCCCTGTAAAAGCGAACGATTCAATAAATTAACACTGTACGTAGCATTTCAACCAATCACACGTTACAAAACTCAAAAAATTTCAACGATAGTTATAAGAAAAATCGCGATATATAGTGAAACGAGTAAAAGCTTGCCTCACATAAACTCCTACAGTTAGCGGATCAGCAGTAATAGGTGCATACGTACAGCCCTATATAAATAAACCAAGAATGTCAAAAATCATCCGAACGCTGCCTGGGGATTCCGTACTCATGCTGTTATCAGAATATTCTCATACGGCTTATTCTTCCATTTCTGAGCTGCATACTCACCAGTTACTATTACCTAGCGTCCACATATATGTTAAGCACCATTTCGAAAACTACCTTAATGGAATGTTAGTTTTCTGGGCATCACACAATAATACGACTTAATGCACCGAAACATTCCTTACCTAATTTATTATTCCCATTTATATTTTTTCTTCTTTATTCTTTTTATTTTCTTCATTACCTCTTTTTACTTTTTCCAATTACATTTTCACTTACACTTAAATATGCTACATCCACGAACTGTAGGCTAAGCAAGTCGCATGTCTTTCCTATCCGTTCATCACACTTCAGCTTCATATATGGTAAGCCTTTGTTTAATTTTGAATTTGCACAAGCAAATCAAAAAAGCTATTTTTGAAATGAAATTAACCATTTACGAAAGTTAAACTACGTCAGAAAAAAAAATCTGACATCGAAAACGTACAGCAATGCCTCCCATTTTTTGCATCAGTACATTGATTGGATTGGTGCTGAATGACGAATTATGAAGACTGGAAGTTCCCACGGATGTCCGATCCTCGCCGCTCATCTGCATTAAATTCTCAATGAGTGCACGCTGATCCGACAGCAATGAAGAGAGTTCGTAGATTTCGCGTTCCAAATCTGAAATTAAATGAAAAACACATGAGAAAATTGAGTGAAAAATAGCTTTCCTTAGGCCAAAAATGCATGCAGCACCTCATCAAATTTCATAACGGAATTGTTAAATTTCTTCTCAATCAAGACATTTATGCACAGGCATATTTGTCAGACATTTTGGCGAAATTTTTGATGAAGGAAATACACCTGGTCTAGGAAGACCAAGGGCTGAAATCTTTTTTCGCACTAAATATCGGAAGTTTACTTTCATGAAGAAACTACAAGCTCCTCGATGTCTGCGTTATTGGAAGCTTTTTTTGCGAGACCCTCAGCCTGACAACTAGTCTAGATCTCGCAACATATAAATAATTACGATTTGGAGAAATATAGTTCAAACTAGGAATACTCGGGCTATCAGTATGGGTATCCCCTGTTAGTAATGTCACTACGATGCTTCCACACGCCCAGCGCGGCTATGTCAGGCCCTTTTGTTTCTGGGTTGCGTATCTCCAGTTAGTACCCACTGTCTGTTCTATGTATGAGCGTCACCAATTCGAAGACCGCCCAATATATATTATACATAATTCAACAAAAACGGAAAATCAAGAAAAAGTAAGACAAGCCAGAAAAAAGAGTGGTTAAAGGAGAGATGGGAATGAATGGAAAAGAGAACTGGTGAGAAAGGAGCAGGGAGAATAGAAAATTGTGTCCTTTTTATGCGTTTTTTGCAGCAATGCAATGTGAAAAACGCATACTGACGAGGGGTTGTCTGTGTGTCTGTGCGTCTGTGTGTCTGTGTGTGCGTCTGTCACGCACTTTCATCTCAGGA